GAAGGTTCTCTAAAATGCCCTTGGGTGTCCTCCGCTCTGTAGGGCAGACTGCAGTGTGTGGCTTCTGCCTGTGGCTCGAGGTTCCCGGAGCGGAGCGTTTCCTGTCAGACTAGTTCTGCCAGCTGCTCTGTGGGCAAAATGACTCTGGACACTTATCTCCCTGTGATTCACTGTACAGTGACATACTAAATGCTCTGAAAAGTCCTGCATGCAGAAAAGGGCCTTAATCAAACTGGTTTCCCCAAGAACCCTTTTCTGATGTTCCAGGGCACATATTAGGTAGGTGGTGCTGTATGAGCTAAAGGCAGGTGTGTGATCTAACTGAGAACCGAAGGCTAGAAGGCTAATGACGGCTCCCTCAAACGTGTAGTTTGTAAAACCCAAATCACTGAAAATCCGAGTGTTTTTAAATGTGCAATTTCTGGATTTTGCTATTAATTCATGACTTGGGAGAGCGATAAGGATCAAGCAAATAATTAAGAACTTAAGAGCTTTCAAATTCATCAGTTTGCTTGGCTACTCAGAAATAGTAAACGTTTTAATATCAACATTATGCTTTGTATTATAAGAGTGTATGGCTTCATTTAAAAACTGCTTTTCCACCAGAGGTACTGTCCATCATCATGAGACTGGTACAACTTGGCACTGAAGAAGTATACCAAGGCCAAGAAGGTTTTTATTTTTTAAAGAAAGAAACATACATGATTATTACTGCTTAACTATTTGGCTACGTATTTATTTTGGTTTGTGGGTGCCATTTCTTGTTGTAGCCTTTAAAGGGTGAAGGTGGAAGGAAGGAAGGTATCTGAATGGAGGGTGGATAGCTCTAAGGCTATTGCCCTTGGTTTTGAGACACGCTGGGTTATTTCAAGCCATCCTTTCCAGAACCCCAACTTCAGTCTGAACACAGTCTCCTAAGCGGCTGTGGCTCCCCATAGCTAATCACAAACCCACAGTATCAAAGGCAGTGGAGGCCAGGCAGGTCTCCTAGAGGCATACCTCTAGGTTTCAAAGGCCTCCATACTCTATCTCTCCCACCAGAAGCTTATCTGGCAGGGCCTGGGGTATGAGCAGAACTGCAATGAGGCCTGGCTTCTGCTGAGGACAGAGCCTTCCTGCTCAGCTTACTTGGGGCTGCCACCTCTTGCTTTAGCTCTCTTGAAGCAACATCTTATGAAACATATAAAAATGTCACCCGAGTGCAAGGAACTGAAGGGCCATGCACTGTGGATGTGGTCACTAGGCTCAGGTAAGTGGCCATGCAGACTGCTTACTGAACGCTACCACCCCTGACCTTCCAGAGCTTTGAAACAAGGCTACAGTCAGTACTAAGGTCCACTTCATCCCTGGCCCCTGAAATTCCGTTTTTGGCAGTGACGGCTTTCTTGTGTGTTCCAGAGTCCTACATTCTCACCTAGCAATCCTCCTGGTACAAATCAAACAGCTCACGTGAACTCTAGCAGTTTGGTGCTGCATCCTCGGCAGGAGAAGACCGTTGCCACACCCATTGGGATTGAACTATGGCTTCAATAATAAAATCATTCTAGTGGTATTCCCGAGGGTTGGCAATTACTTTGTCTTCCTTTGGGGCTGGTATTGTGATACAGAGTAATATGAAATAAGTTCTCTGCCAGAAGCCCAAAACCCGTGACATGAATCAGATCTAAGCTTCCCTGCCCCTCTGTGGGATGTGGTATTTTGTACAAGCTCAAACAGACCTGAATTCAAACATAAATCTGCTCCTCACGTAGCCTTGTTACCTTGGCCAAATTACTCAACCTTTCTGAGCCTGTGCTGTCATCTAGAAAATAAGAACAATACTATCTACCTCAAAGGGTAGTTGTGAATGTTAATGACAGAACCAGTATTAAGCACCTAAGAAAATAACAAAAGCAAAGCATCAACTTTTTATTGTGCCTTCTCTGGGCCAGGTACTGTCCTGAGTGCATTATATTTTCACTCATTCAACCCTTGGAGTACTACTATTATCTCCACTTTATAGTTGCTAAACTGTGGTACACAGACTAAGTAACTTGCCCAAAGTCACACAACTATTAAGCGCCAGTGCTAGACAGGAGCCTGACTCAGAGAGGTTCCTTAACCTCAGGATGTTTTCCCATCTCCTTGCCCCAAAGAGGTGCTGACTTTCATGCAGGATTAGCCACTCATACGCGCACCTATTGGGTTGTTACATTGCATACAGGGTGGGGCAAAAGTAGCTTTACAGTTGTGGGCATGCGAAAGTTTATTCTTGTATTATTTATTAATTATTGTATTATTTTCCATACAAACAACTATAAACCTACTTTTGCTCCCACCCTGTATATCTGTTGAGGTATGTTCCGTACTGTGTACTTTGGGGACAGTTATGGAACAGGTCTGTCCTCAGCTTCCACACCTATAAAATGCAGATATTAATAACAGTTCTTCCTACATAGAATTGTTAGAAATGAATGAGTTCATGAAGATAAAAGGATAAGGAGAGTGCTTGGCGCTCAGAACAGGGTCCATATAGGAAGGCCCTTTAGTGTCCAAAGTCATGAACAGTGCGATACATTAGAATTCTTGGGTGTCAGTGCTTGGTAAAGAAGATTTTGTGGCTGGCTGAATTCAGTAGTTTCAAATGACAGTACTTGCTCTCTGGCAAACATACTGCATTTAAAAATAGATTTAAGTTCTGATTCAACCAATGAATAAACAGGTCCACAGGATTCTGGTTGAAAAGAAATTAGGCCAGGCCTAAGTGAAGCCAGACTAGAAGCAAGCATATTAATAATTAAAATAATCAGAATAGTCAGACATCTACTGGAGGTTTTTCAGGTTATGAATTATATTCCACCTACTGGATAAATGTTATGGCTACTGGCCAAGGAGCTTAAAAATTTTTTTGGCCTGCTAAAAATCTTTGGGTGACATAGGTTAAAACCATTTTATTCCCAATGCTGTTGAATACCATGGCTTTTAGAAGTAAAAAAGGGAAGCTTTTATGAATATGTTGGACATAAAACACCACATTAAAGGAAAAGCTGCAGAGCAGATAGAACAAACTAGCTCTTGTGAGCACTTCTGCAATAAATTTTATGGCTTTGAATTTACTCATCTTGCACCACATTCAAAATTTGTAATAAAATGCAAAAAAAAAAATACAATACTCATTATTCTAGCTGTTTTTCCATGTTCCATTGGGATACAAAACAGAATTTCTCTGCTCAGATTTTGAGGGAAGGGGGAGCTCATCTTATTTCATGTCTGTGCTGCTGCCACAGCCGCAGCACCATGTTCTAGTCATGAAAGTCATAATATAAATCTCTTGCAGACGATACCCACTAGAAGCTGAAACTGCCATGTCCAGAAACTGCTTCCCAAGTTTTTATCTGTGAACCCAGAGGCTAGCACTGAGTGTTTCATTCAATGAGTGAGGCCTATTGGGAAACCTAATTCTTTGGGAGACTTAATGAAGAACTTTCAACCCTTCCATGACTACATAGCCTTTACCACCCATTTCACACGTGACAATGCCAAACATTTCACAACTGCCCCAACTTATATCTGAGTGTTTAAATAATCTATTCTGAGAAGGATATGTGTCACACACATACCTGTGTAGCTTTCTCTTAATGTCAGTAAGGGCTCATACAAATTATAGGTGATATACAGAAGACCTCTAGAACTGTCCAGAAAACAGCTGTGTTTTCTAGCTGTTAGATGAAAGATCTTTTCTAAGTTAGAATACGATAGGAGTCTTAAAATGCCTTAGGGATACTGTAGGGGCATCATCAGAAGGATGTTAAAGGAAGTTTCCAAAACTGGCTTTGCTATTCAAATCCAGGCATTTGTTCTCTTTCAAAGAACACCCCCAAGAAACTCTTGGATATTGTGAGGCCTAAGAGCTGGGGGTGGGGGGACCTTTGTCTCTCTCTTGCTACCCAGCACTGCCCTCCCCAGAATGCCCTACACCTTCAGCACACATCAGGAGCAAGTGCCCCCAAAATACCAGGGCTAAAACAATTCCTACTGCAATATTCTCCTGACATTCTTATTCCCACCCTCATTTTAATTCACTCACTTTTTTTTTTTTTTTAAACAAAATGTAATTACTTGACTGTCAGCCTGGGCTGCACTCTGGGGCTTTTACTCCTTTCAACACAGCTGCGCTCCCTGCTTTGAAGCTGCTGTCCAGGCAGCTTGTCCCAGCCACAGCCTGGCTCTCGGTAATGTAACATTCAAGTGCATATTTATTTTTAAACTGACCTCTCCTAGACTGTACAGTATAAAGGAGGTCCTGCCAAAAAATATGCTACTTTCTATTTATAAGATGAAACACATGCCTTCCAAAGTCGAGAGGGGGATGGAGTATAATAATTCATAACGAAAAACTGACCAGATCCATTCGTCCTCACATGTCTGATACTAGTCTGTGTCAAGACACTTAGTTTCAAGAAGAAAAAAACATCTTGAAAACGCTTCAGCTGTTCAAAAACCACCGACCAAAAAAAAAAAAAAAATCAACTGCCAGACTTGCAGGTTGGAACTCCGCTCACAATGCCCGCCCCTCCCCCCCACCGCAAACTGAGGAAAGAGCACCAGACGGGTACTGCCACCGCAGATATGCACTGCGCACCCGTGTGCAGCCCTGGTGCCAATCCACGATGGGAGGGGAGTGGTAGCCATGTGCGGCTTGTTCTCAGATGGAAAAATGCAATACGCGCCCAGAATGGCTGTCAATAGCTCGAAGGGTGCAGTAAACGTGCAGCCCCACCCTGAAAAGTGGTGGGCACAAATGGTGGATGTCGGAGTCCTGATTGTAGCGCCCGGACCCCTCTCGGTATACTTTATGTCCCCTTTTGTCCTTTGGACACAAGCTGGAAGGTAATGCCCTGGTATCCTCGCTCCCTATGGGTTTCCAAGCCTAGCACCCCGTGCACGCCGGTAGCGGCCACCGCAGCCTGTCGGACAGACACAGACAGAGAGGAAGGAGCCTTGCGCAGGCAGCAACTCACCAGCAGCCCCCGAGGATCGCAGCCACTGCCCAGGGGCCCTGCGCCTCGCACCGGCGCCTCCAAGGGCGCACGCAGTCTCTGCCTGCTACACGCAGATTCAGCGAGTGGGCTGGCGCGGCGCCTCCTCACTGCATTATCCGCTCCCAGTCTGCGTGAAGGCGCCCAAGGCCACTGGTTTCCAGGCTTGTCTGCCGTTCGGATCCCGCCGCTGAACTGCTGCTCGCTGCAGCCGATACCCAGAGTGAAGGTGCGGGATAGACTGAGCGCGCGGCGGCCGGACTTCGGACTGAACCTGCGAAGGGCGGGGCGGGGCGGGGCCGCTGTTCAGGGGGCGGGGCCGGGGCCGGGGCGGGACGGAGGGCGCGGGCGGCGGAGCAGACCCACCCCACCCTGGTACCTGCGCAGCGCCTCGGGGCGGGGCGGGCAGACAGTCGAGGGTCACCTGCGGCAGAGCCGGCGGGCACACGGAGGACAATGGGCACCCGTTTTTACCTCCCCAGTGTCACATCTAGGGATGTGGCTTCCCTCGGAGAAGCTGCGTTCAGCTCCCTCTGCACAAAGAGAGGTCGCGGAACTCTCGGTTCAAAAGGGACCCCGGGGTGCTAGCGCCTGGGTACCCAAGGACAAAGGACTCCGCCTGCAACCCAGACACCTGCACTAAACCTCGTGCGCCCACCTCTCCTCCCAACAAACCGACCTAGCCCACCGAGGCTCCAGCGCGGCGGGCGGGTGACTAGCGGAGTAATGCCACCTGACTGCTCCGTCCTAGCCCGGTCGCGGGTCCCCTGGCCACTAAGATACCGGGCTTGGGGGGAGGGTCGTGTTCTGTCAGTTTCCAGCTCGCTCCCCTTGGAGCTGTCGCCAAAACCCGGAGAGTGGATTTCGCACACTGGAGACACAGAAGCTGCAGGCTGAGCGAGTGGGCGCGCGAACAGCCGACGCTGCAGGTTTTTCCAGTCCACGAGAAGGTGTTTTTTTTTCCTCCCCCGGGTCCCTAAAAGAGACTTGCCTAAAGCTGGCGCAAGCAGGTGGCTGCTGCTTCCGACGCACGACGAGGCCCAAGTGGCGCAGCTGCTGGCCGGGAGCGTTAAATTTCGTCCTTCGCGACACCTGCGCCCGCCGGTCATTCCGGCGACCGCTGCATGCCCCGCCCCTCCGCTCGGGAGCCGAGCGAGGACCCGGTTAATTAATTGTCTTAATCCGTCTTCGTCTCTTCCTCCTCGAGTCGTCGGCCTGGGGAAAGAGTAGGCGACAGGAAAGGGCGGTGTTTTCCGCCTGCGAGGTCCCAGCCCGCACCGTGGGCCTGGAGAGGGTACTGGAACCCGGGAAAGCGGGGCGCCCGGGGCCTGGCCCCAGCCCAGGGACTCTGAGGTTGGATGGAAATCCTGGCACAAAGCAGAGACCCTCCAGGGGACCTTGACTTTCCGGAGCGGTATCAGCCGCGGGTCATCACCGCAACGCCCTTGGGTCTGTCTGAAACCTTAGGGGATGCCAGTTAAGCCGCTGTTGTAAACCATCGCTGACGTTAAGGTGAAGTGAAAAGGAAATGGACACAACTGCTCTGGAAAGCAAAATACTTGGGTGGAGCGTTAAAAGCCTCAAAGAAAATAATAGTTGGCAGGTCAAATGGCCAGGAGGTTGAAAGTCAAATACAAAACTCAGCTGAAATGATGTTAGAAATCTGACAAGCAAAACAGTCCATGAAGATAAGAGACCGGGCATTATTTCCTCTCTACAAATGGCAATTGCTCCGAAGTTTCCTTTGGCAGATACCTGAATATTACTCCAGGTTCCTGAGAGTTTTACTTGGGATTCATATTTCAAAATATATGTTCCATTTGGCACTAATGTATATATTTTATGTATGAATTTATTGGAAAATATTAAATGTTACTGGCCCACTTAAAGGTATTTTTATAAATATGCATAGCTTTCATTGCATATGGTATTTTCATAAGTACAAATAGTATGTACATATTAAATACCACATGAAAAATTTCTTTTGCACACACAGACATTCATTACACATGTCTTGTGTATAGAATTCTTTTCATTTGCTCTATTGTTAACTGCTGTTAACAACACTTTATTTCCACATGACGAAATAAGTAACTTCTTTTACAGCTTCTGCAAGCATAAAGTGGCATGTTCTTTGAGGTAACAATTTTATTCTAAAACCCTATTTTCACTCTTCTGCACCGTTCCTCATTTTCTAGAGACTTTCGCTCTTTGCCTTTCCTTTATGAGGCTTCACATCTGGGCTCCAAACAATTTATCCAGAACCTGCCTCTTCAAGGGCCTGGTGATGCTGATTTGATTTATCCTGGCTTCTTTGATGGTCTACATTATTTATTTGTACTGAACATTTTTCTTGGTACTGAATATCTCCAGCGAGGAAGAATGCCCTTATATAGTGAATTATCCTTTCAGATGAGTGCATTTCCTGTACTATGGTGGCTTTTAGGTTTAATGGATTTTTATTTCAATATGGAAGAAAGAGAAAAGCTTTGCTTTGGGAAGATGTTCGAGGTTCTGAGATTCTGCTATGAGTTACAGAAAGGTTTAGCCTTGAAAAATTGGTGGTAATCAGTAATCTTAGAAGCCTACATGAAACCAAGATAGTGGACATAGAGAAGATATTTTAATCAGGTTCAATCAATGCACTAATGTCTGTAGAGCAAGCATCTGTCAGGTCCAAAGGTGGGCTATTTTTCTCTTAGTTCCGACTGTGGGAGAAGTGCCAGGCAGTGTCAGCATTAAGTACTCTTGCTGTCCAGAAGCCTGCAATCTACTTAAGGGGCAGAGAGGTCGTGCCAGTACATGCAAGCAAGTGCTGACTAGAAATATTCTTGCGTCTTGCCACCAAATGTGCTTCTGGGACAAGCAGCACCAAGGCTTACTCCAGAGCTACTGAATTGGAATCTTCATTTTAAGGAAATGTAGATGGTTCGTATGCACATTTGGTGTTTGAGAAGCTCTGGTCAAGAGTAGTGGTTCTCGGTTGTTTTAAATCACACACTCGCCTGGCTGGTGTGGCTCAGTGGATTGAGTGTCAAACCATGCATGGACCATGAGATCCTGGTTGGATTCTGGGTTAGGGCACATGCCCAAGTTGCAGGCTCCATCCCCAGTAGGGGGCGTGCAGGAGGCAGTGATCAATGTTTCTCATGTTGATGTTTCTCTCTCCCTTTTTCTCTAAAAAATCAATTAAAACATATCTAAAAATCAATCAATCAATCAATCACAGATTCATTTTAAAATATCATGGGACTTAGGAACACTCCTGTCAGGAAAACATACACACAGAATTACACATAGGCTCTTTTTTTTTTGTACAGATAGAGTGGGAGGGAGAGAGAGGAAGAGAGAGAGAGAGAGAGAGAGAGAGAAACATCGACGTGAAGGGACACATCAAGTGGCTGCCACCCACACGACCAACCAGGGCCGGGGACAAACTGCAACCGAGGTACGTGCCCTTAGCGGGAACCGAACCCGGGTCTCTCCAGACCGCAGGCCAACGCTCTAACCGCTGAGCCAAACCGGCCAGGGCTAGACTCTTTTGCATTCAATTTCAGGGTTTTTCTGAACAATCTATTAATGGTGAGGAAGTTCTCTGTAAAAGCCTCCAGTCACAGAGTCATTTAGTGTCACTTAGAGGACTTTAGGGGAGGATTCTTACGGGAGGCAGAGCTTAAATTAAGCTTTGCAATATGGGAGGAATTGAATAGGGAAAGGAGCCAAGAAGGGCAGGAGAATGGCCTAGGTAAATGGGCTCAGGAGATGAAACAGCAAATATGCATTTTTATCTGGAGTAAGGTGACTGCAGTTTGATAGCAAGCTTCCCTTGCAATTCATTATCATTGTTTGAAGTTCCACAGAATGAAGCTGAACTGTGGACTCAGAGGGCCTTCCACTTCAGGGGCACAAGAAACCCTTTGACATATGGTTTTCTACTTGCTTTCCCTCTCTCATTCTGCCGGAACCACATGGCCTTCAGGCCTTTCCAGGAACTCCAACAGTGCCTGGGGCACTCCATCTGCCTGGCCACTTCTTCCCCAGGTAACCAAAAGAATCCATTGTTTTTATTCAAATGAAACTTCTAGAGAGCCCGCTGGTCCTCTAAAATAGCAGCCCTTCCCATATTCCCTCCCCCATCCCTTAAACTTGAAGGCTTAATGCAAGAAGTACCTGACATTACATTATATTTATTTATAAGTTCATTTATGGCTTGCTTTGTGTAAAATGCGGACCTTGTGTATTGTATTTTCCATGCCTAAAATAGGGCCTGGCACATAGTAGGTACTCAATAAACATTTATTGAATAAATGGATCCCTTGACTACAATTTGCAATGAGTGTAAAAGCTGTGTTCACAAACTCCATCGCTCCAGAAATAATAATATATTAAACATTCCTGAAATATGCCACATGTATGCTAAGATTGAATTTTCGACCACTTTTCTTTAGTCTAGCTGAACAAGAAATACTAAACACATGGAACATTTTAAGTTCTAAAATTCAAACATTTTAAAGTAAGGCTTGCAAAAACTGTCTTTACAGTCCATGTATAATGCATAACTATTTCTCTTCTGGCAGAGCTGAAGAACACTCATGTACTCAGCTGGGGTTTTCCTCCAAAATGCCACATTCAGACTGAATTTGTTTGTGCATGTTCTCGATTATCCCCCAAAGTTAGGTTTAAGGAAAAGTGTAAGAGAAGCTGGATGTTTAGAACGTTTTGAATGAGAATATCCTTGTAGCTGGAGAATTCTCTTCCTTGCTACCCCAATTAGGATTTCACCAGTCCTGGAAATAAAGTCAACCTGTTCTATTGAATTTGGTTGAACAGTTGCCAAAACCTAAGGAATTTTCTAAGCAGTGACTTCCTTATGAATAAAGGACTGCAGGTCACATCTTGGTTAGGAGATTTCAGTTTGGCCTAATCAAATGCAGTAGTTCATGGTATATATGAGACTATGTGAGCATGCGGACTGCAGGCCTAGCAGATAGGTCTGAGCAGGTTAGCCAGGTGCTCCCAGTGATCACCAAATCCTAGGACTCTTGGCATTTGAATTAGCTTCTGAACTCGGCAGCACCCATTTCATT